CTATCTATCTATCTATCTATCTATCTATCTATCTATCTATCTATCTAAATTACACAGTGACTGCATGATGCAATAGCTCTAATTAATGACTTTAAAACATCAAAGACTTTACTCATATAAACCTGTCTGTGCAGAAGTGTGGACTGAAAACAACCTGATCACGTCCAGAAACTGTTTTCGTAAAAACACCCCTTCTGCAAGTTAACCGACACCAAGAAGCACAAAGAATAATTTCACTGTCTTTTCTGAAAAGCTTGATATGAGTCCTGGGTAGATGGAGGCCAGTTGTTTGCTGAAAGATCTCCACAGTGAGAACAGTCCTGGTGCTTTTATCTCTCCCAGTAGTGCACACTCATGCGCTATGCAGGGACATGGCCGACCCCTCATCCATAATAGATGTGTCCGTGTCTTAGGCACTGCACACGCTAGCAGCAGGGTTGGTTTTTGTGCTTTCTTTCCCTTCGGTATTCACTCTGCTTTGAGTATTAGACCAATCAGTTTCTTCTCCTCTTAGCCGTTTGGACCCATCCTGCTAAAACTGAGGCTATTGGCCACACCTTTCCATCTAAAGCAGTCAAGTTTTGCTTAGCATTTGAAAATCTGTCTCTGTTAACCCCATAATGCCAAATGTGTCATATCTGATTCATTCGGTTTCTGAAGTCTTTTGGATGTGAGACTTTTTGCATCATTCAGTGGTAAAAGCTTTGCTCAAACCCCTGTTGTACACATTCAGATATACCTGATAACAGCCAGTAGAAGACTACACCAACATATAGTTTTGACTTATTGCACGCTAGTTTGATCAGAATAATTTCTGTTTTCCTTATTCATATGTTGTTGAGGGGCCAAAGAAAGACTTCAGACTAAAAAAATCCAATATTCTTCCTATTTTTCTTGGATCAGGCTTTAAAGGCTTAAGTGTATAATGATGCCTTCAGTGTGAATCTAAAATTTTCATAGCCATGAAAATAAAGAAAAACTCCTTGAATGAGAAGTTTGTGTCCAAACTTTTGGTCTGTACTGCATGTAGTGGAGTATAAGTAAAAGATATACACTCCAATGTGTATATTCTTTTCTTCATATGTTGTTGAGGGGCCAAATAAAGACTTCAGACTAAAAAAATCCAATATTCTTCCTATTTTTCTTGGATTTTTCTTTAAAGGGTTAAAAGTAGAAGATGCAAATGGAACACTTTTAACAACGATAAAGGCTAAAATGGCTGAGGGGTGAAACAGTGTGACGTTACAGTTGAGCCAGTCACCTGTGAGAGAACAGGCGTTGGTCTATTGTCTCTGTTCAAACAAACTAACTTGTAGATGCATGTTTGGAGCTTTTTTATTTCAGCTCTGATCACAGACTCATTTCCTGTGAACATCATTGCTGTGTCATAATTCCCGATGCATTGTACTCCTATAAAACGGCCAACATTTTTAAATGTTATGTGCTTTGTGTACGCCCGTCTGCCCCTTTCTAATCCAAAAATACAAGAATAAAGAGGACGCTAAAATATTTATACGGCCATTTTCTGGCTACGAGGAGCCCTCGCTCGGCTGCACTAAAACGAAACTCGTGACCTAGTTAGGAGAAGGCCCCGTTAGCTTAGCCAAGCAGAAAGCTGCAGCCCCTCTTACTCCTTGTGTAATGTTTGTTAGCGGGTAGGGTGGTCAAAAGTATCGATACTAAAATGTTGTATCCGGATACGATACTCATTTTCAAAAGTATCGATACCAAACGATTTATTTATGTGTTTATTTACGTTGTTTATGGTCATTAACAAGACGTTAGCCTTGAACTGCTAGCTGCGGCTAATGGCTAATAATAAAATGCTACCATTAATCAAGTAAACATCCAAGTCCGCCCACATCCAAGTCCGCCATTTTGATTAGGTCACCAATAGGAAGATCCCAGGCAAGAAAATCCTTATTGGTTCATGGAAATATAGACATTAATTTAAAAATAGTGAAATTAATCTTTCAAACACTTAATCAAACTCATATTATGTTAAAATAGTGGATGTTAAATAGGTTTGTACAATAAGTCCAAACATGTTTAACCAAAAAAATATTTATTTCTCACAATTATGAAGGGTGGAGGGTCAGGGTTAGGGTTATTAATGTGGGCCACCAGTCACCATAACATCAGTAACAGATCAGTTTGAAATGAAAGACACAATTCAGTTCAATTTTGGGGTCTTTGTT